GGTGTACAAATGCGCTTTACACAATTGATGTGTGTATGGATTGGGATAACAGTTGTATGAGCCCCTAATAAAATGTTAAAAAAGGAAAAAAAAAAAGAAAGAAAGATAAATAAATAAAAAAAGAACGTTCATAGCACACCAAAGAGTATTAACAGATCAGTGGGAACAAACATTTGCTGAATCTTCTTTAGAGTTATAGAAGGATTTTTGTTCTTTTCTCTGCTTGTTGAAAAGAAATAATTTTGAATCGTTTAGCACTAAAAATTAAGCAAATGCTACTTACGTGATCGCTAGGCCTCTGATGTCATTGTTAAGATTGATCAGTTATATGAAAGAGCCTGCAACCTAAACTCTGATTTTCACAAAAATCCACGAGCCATGAAAAGAATATGAAAACCTAAACCCACAATCACAGTGGCGAATTCAGGGATACAGAAGAAGCTGACTCGCTGGAGTATTTGAACATTGACTTCTATCTCCACCTGGTCCAGACTGACAGAAGAAGCAGGATGCTGCCCTCCTGACGAGGGCATTTCAGCTGTGCCACAACCCAGAGTCCTGGGCAAATGTCTGGGAGGGTAAGGAAAGCCTGCCCTTCCCATCCCCCAGAGCTGACCCGAAGGGCGCATTCTGGGAGCTGAGTGAGCGGGAATCAGCAGGTGACTGCTGCTTTGGACACTGGCCCATTTGTTTCCTAACCTTGCAGGTGTGAGCTCCAGAAAACTTCTTATGTTGGCTGACTCTCCCCTTCCTCATGAGCTAGAAGCACTAACGTTTCTATAACTGCACTTAAAATCCTAACATCCCATCTTGGGGAAGTAGTTTCATCCCTCCAAAGCCAGGCTGCAATAAGGTTTCTAGGAAGAGAAGAAAGGGGTTGGAAAAAAGGAAAATTAAAATGCATCAGCTATGAAACAAATGTGCCCTATCCCACCACTGGGCCTTCAAGGAAGTAAACATTCTGTTTTCCTAAGACCAGACCCGTGTGCATTCCGTAGCATCACAGATTTAATTCTACCACTCCTGAAAGCTAAAAATTGCCAGGCGTTCCGCCGACATGGTTCCCATGTCCTGCCTCCACAGGCTTGCACAACACTTATCACCATCCTTACATACATACATTGTGTCAAGCACATTTGAGGCCATCATCATTCTCAAAACATTTGCTTTCTACTTGAGCCCTTGGTATCAGCTCATTTTTCCCCTCCTTTATGAATTATTATTTTGTCATGTCTTACACTGTCTGAGATCTCCCTTCAACCACTTTTCTGTTGTCCATCCCCTAGGGAGGAGGTTATATGTAGGTCCTTGTAATTCTCCCTCCCTCCCAGTATCACCACTCTCAGCACTGGTCCTAAAGGGATCATCCGCCCTGGATTCCCTGGGTTTCCAGTTCCTATCTGTACCAGTGTACGTGCTCTGGTCTAGCCAGATTTGTGAGGTAGAATTGGGATCATGATAGTGAGGAGGAGGAAGGGGAAAGTTGTGTTTCATTGTTGCTACACTGCACTCTGACTGGCTCTGTAAGGGATTTCCATTTGCCTACTGATGGGTCTGGGTCCCCAATCTCCACTGTCCCTCATTCACAATGATTTGAAGCCCGGGGAGTTCTGTAGTCTGAAGTGTCTGGATTGCCAGCATCTAGGGCAGACTGCGCCTAACGCCCCGCTGTTGATTCTGTTGGCAGCGTCTCCTTCAGGGAAATTGTGGTGAGTTTACTCTCTCATCAAGTGCTGCTCCAGAACCTGTACGACATCTTGTTGGAAGAGTTCGTCAAAGGCCCCTGCCCGGGAGAGGAGAAGACTGTGCCGGTGCCCGAGAGCAAGCCGGCTGGCTTCCTCAGGTACATCTCCATGCAGAACCTGGCCGTCATATTTGACCTGCTGCTGGACTCCTACAGGACAGCCCGAGAGTTCGACACCAGCCCCGGGCTGAAATGCCTGCTGAAGAAGGTGTCGGGCATCGGGGGCGCCGCCAACCTCTACCGCCAGTCCGCCATGAGTTTTAACATCTACTTCCACGCGTTGGTGTGCGCCATCCTCACCAACCAGGAGACCATCGCGGCCGAGCAAGTGAAGAAGGCCCTGTTTGAGGACGAGGCGAGGAGCACCGACTCTTCCCAGCAGTGCTCATCGGAAGATGAAGACATCTTCGAGGAGACGGCCCAGGTCAGCCCCCCGCGGGGCAAGGAGAAGAGGCAGTGGCGGTCCAGGCTGCCCTCGCTCAGCGTCCAGCCCGTGAGCAACGCCGACTGGGTGTGGCTGGTGAAGCGGCTGCACAAGCTGTGCCTGGAGCTGTGCCACACCTACATCCAGATGCACCTGGACCTGGAGGCCAGCCTGGAGGAGGCGCCGCTGCTCAAGAACGACCCCTTCTTCCTCCTCCCCTCCTTCCAGTCCGAGTCCTCCACGCCGTCCACGGGGGGCTTCTCCGGGAAAGAGACGCCCTCCGAGGACGACCGGAGTCAAGTCCGGGACCACCTCAGTGAGTGTCTGAGCCTGAGGGGGAGCAGCGGGGAGATGCTGATGCTGCCCCCGAGCCCCAAGGTGGAGGCGAGGGAGCCCGGCCCGAAGAAGGAGTGGTGGGAGAGTGCGGGCAACAAGCTCTGCACGCTGGCGGCCGACAAAACCATCTCCAAGCTGATGACGGAATACAGAAAGCGGAAGCAACAGCAGCAGCACAGCCTGCCCCCTGCCTTCCCCAAAGTGGAGAAGAAGGGAGAGCCGCCGGCCCCCCGGGGCCAGGACTCCCCGCTGCTGCAGCGGCCCCAGCACCTGATGGACCAGGGCCAGATGCGCCATTCCTTCAGCGCCGGGCCCGAGCTCCTGCGGCACGAGAAGCGGCCCCGCTCGGGCTCCACCGGGAGCTCCCTGAGCGTTTCCGTGCGAGACTCCGAGGCCCAGATCCAGGTACGTGTGTCTGTGCCTGCTGCTGCCCTGGGGAGGGAGGGTGGCACCTTGTAAAACTCCACGGAGGTGGCAGTCATCCCCCGTAGAGTACGGTGCCTGCAGGGCCGGTGCAATTGACGCCCAGCATCTGCTTCTTCCCCCACAGTGCGGGGGATCCAGGAGACCCGTGGACTATCGGGTTGAACCCGACTCATGGGGATGGTGCCTCGGGCTTTTTCTGTTGCCATGCAAACCCTCAACCTTTTCTTGGCACGTCCCCTTCACCACCACCCACGACCCTCACAGAAAGCAGCAAACCACCTGTGCAGAGAGGCCGAAGCTCCTGAAATTGATGTGCATGTAACTGGAATGAAGTCCCCGGCTTGTCATTTGAAGAGAGCATTGAAGAAAGTCCATCCTGGGTTGAGCTGCTAACCACGAGGCCAGCTACTCAAACCCCCAGCCACTCCACGTAAGAGAGATGAGGCTTCCTGATCAAGTAAAGATTTCTGGTCTCCGAAATTTACCGGGGGTGGTTCTGCCCTGCCCTACAGGGTCACCATGAGTCAGAATTGACTCAATGGGAGTGAGTTTGAGTTTTTGAGTTTTGATAGTTATTCTAACCCATCCCAGGCACAAAAACACTCTTCAAAGGGCTTTGAGAGGGCCTGTCCTCATAAGTTTTTATTCTCTGGTGCCTCAAAAAGGACTCCTTATGTCCTGGTGAGAGAAGCACGGGGTTTGCTACCTGCCAGGTTAGCAGTTCTAACCCTACCCCCCACCTCCAAGGGAGGAGGTGGTCTGTTCCCATCCAATGTCACAATCCAGTCCGGGAAATCCTAAGGAGCAGCTCACCTCTGCCCTTGAAGGTGGCTGCAAGTCCGAGAGAGAAACCAAGATACCTTTTTTTTTTTTTTTTGAAACCAAGAAATCTTGGGAGAGACTTTTTGAAATAAGCTGAAGATTCCTGTCACAGACGCAAGAAAGTGTGAAGCCCAAGTTTTCGATAAATCTACACAGGAATATATCAAATTGGAATTCATAAGAACCTTGCAACATGCTTTGTGTATAATTTAAAATTAAAAATTAACTTCAGGCCCCATAAAAATCCTCATAGAACAGAGATTTACAAGCATCCATGTTGAGAGATAATGGTATCTTTATAGCTTTGGGGACCTAGGGGACAGATGTCACCCACCAATTTCTCCAGCCTCTCAACGATCCCGGGAAGCTGCTACCCCAGGTGCAGTGCTTGCTAGCCACCGGGGAGGCCTATATGACTCTGGGGATTTAGAAAATGGGCCTCGCCCCGCTCACTACCAGAGTCCATGTGAGACCTATGGCAGGGATTTAAAGGGTTTTAGGAAAACGGAATTTTTCCTGAAACTTTTTGAAGCCCCTGTGTGTGTGTTTTCCATGTAATTATATCAAAATCCAGTGTAGCTCCATTTATTTTCTTCTTGATTTTCCAGTAACGGATGCCATGATAAAAGGCCTGCTACCCATAAAGCCCCACAGCAGGTTTTCTTCCATTTGGTCCTGAAAGGACCACCCGGGGCAGCTGCTCATCTCTTCATTGCTTTTCCCATCTTGTGATTTTGCTTATGGTTTTTAAAGTTATCCTTAAAGGATACCCTTAGTTAACTAAAGGAGGCATCTTCTAAGATGTACAGGCTTTATAAAGCCTTGCTTTAGGGTTTGTGACCTACTGAAACCTCATGAAGAGAAGTTGTGAAAGCAGAAAATGAGACATTTCTAATGGTGACTGCTTGCACCACACAGGCACCCCGTGTTTCACGGAGGTGCTCAGCTACGAAGGTTAGCAGTTCCAACCAACCCCAAGGCCTGATAAGCTACACCCATGAAGCCTGATGCAGTGCAGTCCTACCCTGCACATGTGGGGTTTGCTGTGAGTCAGGAGTGACTCCACAGCAAATGACTTGACTTTAATGTTTTGTCTGCCTCTAGTGGCATAGTGCGTACACCTTGGCATTACGGTCCACAAGTCAGCAGTTCGAAACCACCAGCTGCTCCAAGAGAGAAAGATGGTGCTTTCTACTCCTGTAAAGAGTTAACGTCTTGGAATCCAACAGGGCAGTTTTACGTAGTCCTCTGAGGCGGAATCCAGTAGACAGCAGTGAGTGTCGGGTATCCCAAGATGAGTTTGAGAAGAGAGCAGAAGAAACCGAGGGACCTCTGAATTTCAAGTCATCAGTCCCTGGAGGAGCACAGCAAGCTGGGTCAAGGAGCGGGTCGGTGGGAAAGAGGAGGCACGTCAGCAGGAGGGATCCATGGAGTGGCTACAAGGATGGGCTCAGACAACTGTGAGCGCGGGACAGCACCAGGTGAGGGTCTCTGTGTTGTACAAGGAGGCTGCAAAGAGTCCATTGGAAAATGGAATTGGAAAAGAATGGAAAACTTCCACACAAACGTCTGAAAGGCAGTAGAGTCTCTACGGCGGTGTGATGGCCATGTATGGTGACCCACAGCCGGAGGAAACCCCCGCTGGGTTTGCCGTACACAGTCACACCTCAGGGCTGGTAGGAAGGCGACCGTGGGAGAAAGCTGCTGATTTGTCTTCAATCTTCTCTCGTAGGCGTGGACCAACATGGTGCTAACCGTTCTCAACCAGATCCAGATCCTGCCGGACCAGACCTTCACTGCCCTGCAGCCCGCGGTGTTCCCGTGCATCAGCCAGCTGACCTGCCACGTGACTGACATCCGAGTGCGGCAGGCCCTGCGAGAGTGGCTGGGCCGCGTGGGCCGCGTGTATGACATCATTGTGTAAAGTCCATGGGAAATCACCCTGCAGGGGTTAGAGGACGCTTGCCAACCCAACGGATAGCATCCCCCAGCACCCGCGCCCCACAGCAACTCAAGTCTCCGAGAACAATGTTTCCTAACATTGTAGAAGGGGGGGGAAGAGGAACCCCCTCTCTGATCACTCCCTCATGAAGCAGCGTTGTGGTGCCATAGGGGTACCGAGGTGCGGTGCCTAGGTGGCCAACCGCTGACTTGGATTTTTCCAGAAGAGACTTCCACTCCTTGACAAATCTTTCTAAATCTTAAGAACTGTGTTTCTCAGTGCTTTGCTTGCCGTGTTAGCTATCCATCCCCGAATGGGTCCGTTCGGAGGAGCAGTCCTCTGAAACCCCCGCATTGCCCCATTGATGGACCATTTACAAAGGCACTCTTTTCTGGAAACGCCTGCTGGTAAGTCAAGCTGATGTGTAAACCCTCAGACACTGTTAACCGGAGAAAGATTTAGATTCTGATGGCAGGTTGGGTGGGAAGAAAGCAGATGCAAAACTCTCTTCTAAGGGGTAATAAGAAAGGTATGTCCTTTGCTGCGGGATATTCCAGAACATTTCAAAATTGTTTGTAAATGACCAAGCCTCTCAGATCGGTCAATACCAACTTCCGGTGTAAGGTACTGCTGTGCCTTCAATTCCCTATTTCTGGAGGAAGACCCTTCCTTCCTGGCAGGTGTCTCAGACACAGGGACCCCAGAGGTAACGGCTGTCCCATCAGCCTTTGCTTCTGCGCCCAGAGAAACAAGGAAAGACGAAATGGTGCCTTAGCCCCTTGTTGCACAGATGTTTCTATGCTCCACAGACAGCTGAACACATAAGTACAGCATCCGGTTTTTAAGGAAAAAGGAAATTCAAAATGCAACTCATTTTACGTCAATACCCTTGGAGGAGAGGGAGTCCGAATCCTCCATCCAGCGAGCTGACTTCTCAGGGATTGGGAACAGGAAGTGTTGGGTAGGGAGACACAAGGAGGGTGGGAAAGGGGATTATGATATGATATAATCACCCCAAGTCTTCATTTTAGAAACCGGCAGATAGTTTTTACAAGTGATACAACCACTAGTCTCAGAAGGAAAACTGAAAGGGAAGGGGCAGAGAATGACATATGTCTTAGCCTTATATTCACTGTTAAAATATTTCTTTTCCCAATTATTACTAGAAAATGAATTTGGAACTTTTAAAAATTCACAATGTATTTTATGGGTCTTAAACTCTAATCCTAATGATTAAAACCCTTCTGTCAAGCCTATTTATAAACATTCTAGAGAGTACAATTAATGGCTAAAGCATATAATTTTGCCAGACCCAAAAACTATATTCATAATTGCATATGTCATCTTTTAAAAATAAGAGCTGACCTCTTCAATCTTGAGTGAAATACGGGTTTGAAACTGAGCTGACTTCAGCCCTGGTGGGTGCAAATTTTGCCTTCCTTGGGAAATGGGTAGCTATGTCCAGTTGGGGAAGCGAGGGTTCCCTGCAGCAGTCTAAAAGAAAGCACCGTACCATCTCACGGGCCACCACAAGGACCGCACACTCTAGAAGAGAGTTGGTTCAAGTTTAGAAGTTGCTCTTCAGCTCTTTGGTCGCAACAGGCAATGCATTCTTGGGATAGCAACGAGCTGTTTCCAAGACTGGCAGTTTTATGCTTTGTAAGTGGAATTGAAAGCCGACACTTCCAAAAAGAAAAAAACAGGTGGCAACACGGCTGTCTTTTCTTTTTCTAACTATTTGATTTAGCTCCACATTTTAATGGTGTGAGGTAAGGGGAAAGAATGAAACGGATTATAAAATCGGAGTACTTACAAGTGTATTTGTAGCAACTGTTGAAAAGCATACAAAGTTAAAGGGAGCCCTTTCCTATGTTCAAAGTTCACGTTCCAGGAATAGATTAGCTGTTTAGAAATCAATTCACTCTCATGAAACTAGTTTTATCCAATGTGGATATCCAAACCTGCTCTAGTAAACTGACCCAAGAATAAAAACATCAGTTGCTTTATAGAGCTCCTTACTTAGTTTTGTACGAGGCAATGGGACCAACCCATCATCTTTTCTATCACCCTCTCCAAGAGCCCACATCATCTCTCTTTAGCCCACCTTCGTGCCCACCATTCTTTGCGCCACAGCTACCTTACATCCCCATCCAATTTCAAGCAGATAATTGAGCTCAGTCCCAGCACCACCCCCGTTCCCCTGAAGTACCTATTAACTACTGGGACTTAGCTAGTTTTCTTCTTGAAGATGTGAGTCAAAGTACCTTTAAATGGAAACTTCTCAGCACAGTGATTACGAGGCCTTTTCTCATTTGAAGGAGAGAGCATATACAGAGTCAATTGAGGAAATCAGTCTTAAAGGAACCCTAGGTAATAAATACAATGCAGGCATGTAATAGGTACGCGGTGGCTTCCCTGTATACATCACAATACTGCTTATGGAGGAAAGAGTCCTCCAAAAATGAAATCTATTCTTATCAGCCCTTTTGTTGGAAGCTGGTACCAATAGATATCCATGGCAAGAGGTGACAGACAGCAGAGGGTGGTGCCACTGGAAGAGGGACTTCTGCTTCATGCCCACATTGAGTTTTCAGACAAGAGACACAAACTCAGAGGTTGAGAGCCTTCCTGGGATTTCCCGTAAGTGGTTTGATTTGAAAAAGGTCTTCCTGAATGCCCGAGGCCATGCTTCCTCCGCAAGCCCAACCAGTGAGAGAAAGGTAGGGCTTGTCAAGAGGTTCGACCCCAGGAGCTGCCGAGATGGAGGTCTCCGGCTGTGATGTTAAGAAGATCCTTAAAACAGGGTTCAAAAGTGCTTATAGGGAGGTTCCATGAAACAATCTCCTGAGTGTATTCAATGAAGGGAAACAAGCAACCCCCCCAAAAAATATTAAAGCCAGACCTTCAGTGTAAATTTAGAAAACGAACTAGATTAGATGGAGAAGGTGGAACAGTACTGTATGTGGCCAGATGTTATGAGGAAGTATGTGGCAGGCTGTGTCTAGGGTTGGCATGTAAGATTTGTACACGTTTCAAATGCCATTCAATTGCTCAGAGTAAAGTACTCTGTTGCCAGCCATGCCTCTCGACCTGCTTCTCTGCAGAGTCTCAGGTACTAAAGCCATTGTCAATGGACTGAAAGTACCAGGGCTGTCAGAAGAACAAACAAGTCCGTCTTGGAAGAAGTACACAGCTAGAGACTGCTTCTTAGAAGCCAGGATGACATGATAGTTTCTCATTTACTTTGGACACATTATCAGGAGAGATCAGTCACTGGATGAGGACAACACCTTTAATCAAGTTGAGTGTCAGAGAAAGAGGAAGACCTTCTAGAAGATGGATTGACATAACTAACAGTGGGCTCTGGTCCCAGGAGTCAGAATTGTGAGGACGGAGGATGGTAGGGCTCTGGCTCATTCTGTTGTCGGAGACACCTCTTCAGTGGCACCTAACAACATCGGCAGCGTTAGAGACTTTAACAATAAATAACCACTTTCCAAAATGCACATTTTCCGATACAGACACGACTGGTTAGACAACATTGTAGAAGGTGCCAGATACAGAGGGCATCAGATTGATATTCTAAATAACTAAACCACCACACCTAAATATTTTCATTTCTTTTGCACAGAAGCGGACATAAGAAATCTAAGCTATCAAGCTGATGACAATATAAATATGCTCAGTCACCACAGTGTGATCACAGCGAGGCTTAGAAGAACCTTTCCAAGAGCTTGTTATTGAGCACATTTTAAGAAATCAGTACAAGACTTGATTTGATAGTTATAACTCCTCAAGAAAAAAAAAGCTCACTCATTAGTAGAGCAATCTAGAAAACATTTGTTTTTGTTTGTTCATATGTTTGGGAGTTTCCCTTCCTGTGGCTATATTATAGTGTTCGTATTTAATGTGGGAATAACTAATAATTAAGGTTTCAGACTAGAACACCATTTAGATTTCCAAAACGCATTCGTTCAGAGACAAGAAAAGAAACATCCCGAGATTATCGAGAAGAAATTAGTGCCATCATTCCATTGGAAAACAACACTCCACATCACTAGCATCACAGAACACCCTTTCCTCCCTCTTCGATGAACAAGACAAAAATGTTCCAGGAAGAGAGATTAAGCATCCTACTGACAAAACGGGAGCCAACCAATTTTGGGCCCTTCCATACTTTGCAAACAACAGTTGCTTGCATCACTTGCTTCTATCCTGAAGGCTTATGCCAGTGGTTGGCTAGTATCTTTTCTATAGAATAGTGGTTCTCAAACATTAGCTCACATCAGAGTCATCTGCAGGCTTTGCTAAAATACAGGTTGTTGGGCCTGAGCCCAGAGTTTTACTCAATATGTCTGGAAATTTACATTTCTAACAAGTTCCCATGTAAGACTAATGTTGGGATCTTGGTTGGGGGGCTGTATATGCAAACTTCGAGAACCACTGTGTTAGATCATTTCAAAACATGACCTTTAAGATCAGCCTGGCTTATCAAGCACTGGAGAAAAACAGAACTTATCTTGAGTGGACAATTTGACACTCCATGTCTCGACAGCATTCCTGCCCAATCTTCCCAGTTTCTAGTTTTAGTATGCCATGCTTGGTTTTTTACAGCTAGAAGACAACGAATGTATAACTTCTACAGAGCAATGCGATTAAGTGTACGCGTCTCATCTTTGTATTTAAATACTGATTATATGGATGATCCTTTGTATCGCGTTGACCTTTGACTTGTACTGAAGGTGATTTAAATGTGTGTAGCCTTTGCATTTCATCTGTTCATACTGTTTTAATGAGATGTTTCCATGTTGGCTTCATTACCACACCGTGTGGCTCCTGGCGATGACAGGTTTTTGAGTAGTTACGTGCCAGTTGGTTTTTTTGTTGTTGTTTTTTGTTGCTGTTTTGCCAGTTGTTTTACCATCTCTCATTGGTCACCAAAATGCTCAGAACTTTGGGATGATAAAGCTCGCCTTGATGTCACTTCATCTTTCACTTCCATTGTGTGATTGCTTACTATTTTAATGAAGAGGATATCTGGAAAGAGTCTACCAAATGGCACCATGTGCACCTGCAAACGGAACCAACCTCGCTGTGAGCCTGTTGAAGGACTTTCGGTCAATGTGTCGGTGCATAAGAGTGCCCAACAGAGACCAGACCCATCAGCTCAGTTTCCAAATGAGGGCAAAATTGTAAGTGGTCCACTGAGCTTTGGGAAGAGCCTTATTTAATCTCCTAACTTTTTATTAATTCTCCGGGGAAATACTTCTTTTATTATAAAACTTAGTGTGAATGAGAATAAAATGTTTTTGAATCACCTATGTTAAGATAATTCTTAGCCATTTGGTAAAGTTTCTCCGAAGACTTTCGCTGACATACCCTGACATCATGAAAGTTAGCTTCGATGGTGAGAGGGTTAGAAAGCACCGAGTATCTCTCCTAGATTTAGTGAAATCCGAAAGTTTATCAGGCACCAGGGCTTCAAGTCCCTGCTTCTGTGGATGGAAATCCTTGGGAACATCCTTATTTCACTTTTGTTTTCCACAATCATATTTGGATATTACATATGTGCTTAATTATTTTGATAACTCTGATTTAAAAATTAAATTATGTTTAAAAATAATCAACCTTTAGGATTCATTTTATTTGTTTTACCAACTGGTGCCAAAAAAAAAAAAAGGGGTGGGGGGAGAATCCGGAACCCAGTCTTCTGGCCCCACCTGGCCAGCACTTCAGTTTTCCCTTCAGAAGGCTGAAGCAGCTGACCCGACAAGGACCAGTCGTCATCCACGGCTACCTAGTGATGATTGGCGAGCCACTTCGTATTCCTCTTCCTGTAGTTTTCAGCTGGTGCTTGTTGGAAGTAGTTTAATTTTTTTAAAAAGTTTCTCATCGATAGATAAAATGTGTTACTTTTGGTTCATCTTCAATTAGAACCATGGAGTAGAATATTCAAGTAGGGCAGGATGGGGACAGGTGCCCAGAGGGAAAATGGTTTTTCCTTGTTTGTGTTGGAGGTAGGGGAGGAACGAAACATAAGTTTATTTCCCACATTATGCCAAAAAGACTATTACTCAAGAAGGTTTTCCTTCATTTCCAAGAGAAGCAATCTTAAAGGACAATAGAAACAGTTCCTCTCCTACCATCCCCTAGACCAGTGGTTCTCAACTTTTCTAAGGCCGCGGCCCTTTCAGACAGTCCCTCATGTTGTTGTGACCCTCCACAACCGTAAAATGATTTTCATTGCTACTTTTTTTTACATCAATTGTGTGAAGTACATTCGTACATTCATTCCTTCATCATTCACAACTCTTATAATAATCCATACATCAGTTGTATCAAGCATATTTCTACATATGTTGCCATTATTCTTTTCTGGACATTTACTTTCTTTTTTATTGTTTTATTGGGGGCTCATACAATTCTCATCACAATCCATCCATACATACATCCATTGTGTCAAGCACATATGTACATTCGCTGCCTTCATCATTCTCAAAACATTTGCCCTCCATCATTGCTACTTCTTAACTGTCATTTTGCTACTACTATGAATTGGGCGACCCCTATAAAAGGATCGTTCAACCCCCAAAGGGGTCTCGACCCACAGGTTGAGAACCACTGTCCTAGAAGAATAGATAGCCAATGGGAGGGAGGTTAAGAGTCCTTTTATCCCTTGTATGATGCCAAAGAATCAACTTGTTCCCATTGAAAATTATAAAGGAAAAAAGCTTGGAATAGCCATAATGATTTGAGTCTGTAGACCATTGTACCTAAATGCACAATTCACTCTTGCAGCCCGCTCACCAGGAGCCTTGAAGCATTGTGTTTACTTCAAAGGCTTCGTGTCTAGGAAGTACAACTTTTGTTTTGCCACCTTCTGTTGTCAGTTTGGTCGTATTTACTGAAAAAATAAACCGAAGCCAACTTCCTTTACATGCCAATAAAACTTTGATTTGCTACAACCTATCCATTATTTTAATAGATCACTGTATGCAAGCTTGCA